GGGGGGGGGGGGGGGGGGGGAACCCATTTCAATTTAACTTTTTTGCCCAGTTAGACTTGTGGTCTTAACTCTAAGTTCCTTCTTCATTTGGTTCTTTCTATTGAGATTTGGTATTTTATACTGTTCGAATTATATATTCATGTCCACCAATGTTAATAGAATACTCAACGGCTTCTTCGCCGGTAATCTTCTTATTATTTTTTTGTCTACACATAAAGATATACTTCACTTTATTTGTTAAGACTGGGGGTGTACATAGCTCGGGTTGGTTCGGGTTTTGCAATTACCAAACCAAACCAATTGTGCCGGATTACTAAACCTAAAGACCAAACCAAACCAATAAAACTCAGGTTTTTCAATCTCGATTTTTCTTGGGTTTTCGGGTTATTCGGGTTTTTTCGGTGTTTTTTTTTTCCGATGAAAATCTTCGTAGCACAAAACACATAACTTGTGCTCAAAATATTTCTTTAATCCTAGTAAGATACAAGTATATAAGGTATTTTTCAAGAAAATAATACAAAATATGAGATGTGTCATGGCATTATCCTAAAATATTCAACAATAAAGACAATAAAATTATGTAATATAAATATTGCTAATTAAAAATTCATAATAAAAATAAATATAATCTAAAATTACTAAGTCATGCTAAAATAAGTAGACTAATAAGGGAGTATTAATTACATGACTAAACGCTAAAGAAAAAATAAAAATAGGTTATGCATTTTTATCTAAATCATTGCAAAACAAAAAATAGATATTCAATACTGTCGTTCCTAGTATTGAATTGAATGTCTTTTGTTAGCATTAGTATTGATTTGATTTTGGTTTGGGCTTTTGTTAGCATTATTTAAGTTACTAATATTAATGGCTATAAAACTTATTGGAATATTCAAAAGTTCTAAGTTCAGCCTTGAAATAATAATACCTTAAAAAATAAAATTATGAAATTTTTTAAGAAATATTTATAAATTACATCACAATAAGTATATTTATATATTAAATATATCTAAAAAATTTATATTTGTAATATCGGGTTGGGTGGTTTCGGTTTGACTTTCTTTAGTTAAAACCAAACCAAACCAAACCAAACCAATTATGGTCGGGTTTTTTTTCCAACACCAACCCAAATCAAATCAAACCATAGTCGGGTTTTTTTTCTCGGTTTGAGTCGGATTATCGGGTGGTGCGGTTTGTCGGTTTCCTTTGTACACCCCTAGTTAAGACTTAAGAGTAATTAATAAAACCAAATTTACCACTACCTCTTGTTTAATTTGTTATAGTCACTTCAAAACAGAGAGGAACCTTTATATAAAAGGAATATAATTATGAAAATCCAAAATGAAAATCAGAGTAAGAGGAAGACAAAATAAAATCTCTGCAATAACTCTGGTTTACTCATAATTCAAGCAAATGCAAAATCCAAAAGCCCTTTTGCCTATTGAAAGCACTGATTAATATAAATTCTTATTAAACGATTTCATTAATTAAATACGAAAGACCCCATGTACCATCATCTAGTGACTTGAAAAAATAAGCATAAAAAAGAGAATTCACCTCAAATTCAGGCGTTTGTTAGTCTATTGTTATGTATTATCCTTCTCTCAGCCTTTTTTGGCCAGCGAAATATTAGTACAATGAGCTTTGATATGAATGAATACTAACTAATTCAAAAGTTGACGTTATTAATTTATTTTCTAATAACATGAGTTGTCACTCGACCTTTATATTGGATTGTTGGTCCATTTATCGCTTTAGTTTCTTAATTAAGACGAACTAGTAGCTACCAAAATATTACCTAACATTTTCCTATCTTCCCTTTTTTTAATAATCGTGGTATTATGCAAGCTTACTCGCACATGGACTAAGTTTACGGGACACCCGTTACCTCTCACCAAGAACAGATAAAAAAGATCATGAGATACTTTTACCTTAGCTAAATTTTGAACATGATACATCATAGTTCATTTTCCTATATTCCTTTATTTTCTGGCGAGGAATTCAAGGAAATTAAACAAGAAAATATGCTCCTTGAGAGGTACGTCGAAAAGAAAGAGATTTGTAATATGACTATATATATATATATATGATGCTGAGCCAACAATGAGCTCATGGTTGTAACCACCCATTTTAAATTGTTCAATTCAAACTTTGAAATCAATAGACAAGTTCACGAGGCACGACCCATGACTCTCTCAAGAGAGCTCTTACTTTGTCCACACTTACACCATCCCAGAAAGCTCTACTTTTCATGCCCCTAGTGTTCTCTCTCTCTCTCTCTCTCTCACACACACACACACACATATATATATATATATATATATATATATATATATATATATATATATATATATATATATATATATATATATACTTTGCTTGATTAGTTGTCGTTGTTACGTATAAGATCAAATGATGACCTACTAAGAATGTGATTATTTCAGTTTTACATATACCACAAAATTAATTAACATGCAGTTTTTACGTAACCATCAAATCCCTAGTGATATTATTTCCTTTGGGCATAGGCCAGCACGGCTATAGAATGCATCACTAGGGTCTACGTCTTGCTTCACTTATATACATAAACTCTCTCGTATTTTGCCGATATAGGATTCACCTGGAATGTCATAATAATGTATAAAAATAACAAATACACGTATATTACGCGCGTACCTACATGATTACATGTAATATTTTTCTTGAAATTCTTTGTCAATCATGGGGACCATCAAGCTATACAAGGCAAGAAGAGTGGGGAGAATCAAGTAGATAGGCTGGCCATTAATTTCTATGGAATTAATGAGTGAATATTTCTGTGTGTATTTGGCACTATGTTGACTTGGATGAGAACAAAGCATAGCATAACTAGGAGATAATAGAGAAGCTGTTCATCTTTTTCAATGGTGCCAAAGAGAGAATAAATATATCATAATTTGAATTTGCTTTGGAAGGCTCCTCTCTTCTTTTTGAGAAATGCACGATATATACTTAATGCAATGACACTATATATATATTAGTATATGGTCCCTTTCGTATCTTGTCATGTTTTTCATGATAAAGAATGGGTCAGTTTGTTAGCTTATTAGGGTACTGCCAGCTTTTGAAAATCACGTGTTTGGCTTCTTCTTTTTTTCACCCTCCATTCTTATTCTTCATCATTTGTGGTTATTTATTCTATTCAAAACTAAGTTAATTAGTGATTGGTACTTCTCAGAGGGAAATATTTGACTCTAAACAAAAAGATTGATTCAACTAGATAGATTTGACATTGTTGATGAGAATAGGCAATAGAATTGATTTGACACCTAGAACAATTATGCTAGGATTTGAAACGCATCATCTACAAATCCAAAAGTGTGATCTATACCTATTAAACTCAAATCTAATGTGGAATGATTCCTTTCTCCTCTTTGTAAAGCATCAGATATGCAAAAGTCCTCCTTATATACTTAGTTTCATTCTTGTGGTTTGCCTTTTTGGCCATTGAAATCCCAAATGTCCAAAGATTGCAAGTCCCAATCTTGTAGTGGCGCAGCCAATATTTTCACTAAGGGTATTCAAAGTTTAATATATATGTATAATAAGTAAATGTTGATCTACATGCACACTATTATTTTTTATATATTCAGTATAATTTTTCGATGAAGGGTGCCCTTCACTCATATCATAATAAAGTACTTAGTTTTGAATTCACATCACAAGTGTTTGCAAACTGGCATTATTAACAACGAGCTAACAACTTATATCATGTATCCTTCTTAACTGGGGAAATAGTCATCACCGGACTGGGAATACATTACAGAGACAAGGAAATCATAAGACATCCTGTCGAAAGAGAATATTCACCTTAATTTGGACAAAACACGCGACAGACCTGGCAAAATTGAGCGCAAGGTATTGCGAACAAAGCATCACCTCCTTCCTTTTTGACAGATCAAATTAAATTTAGTCATCCTGAACTGTGTTCGTGCAGTCCCTTCTCCTCGGATTCCTCGAGCTAATCAATTGCAAGTTCTCAGCAAGCATATAAAGACAAAGAAAGCAGAGTCCAGCATAGGCAATAGTAACACCCGACGCTATCCTTCCCAGAGCTGATAACACATAAAGAGTAACCACAACCTTAAAGAACAAGCGTTTGTCATGGCCTGTAGCAGCAACCCGGAGAACAGACTCAGCAGCACCTATAGTATTAGCGAGGCAAGCAAAGACACTGTTGGCAGCGTCCTGAGAGATCTGCCACTCAAGCGGATCCACAGGAACCGAGATGTTCATCTGCCGAAAGAGAAGGCCAAGAATGGCGAGGGAACAGAGGAGTACAATGAAGACGTCTGAGACAAGAGAGACAAGACTTGAATTCCGATAGGCGCAGTGGTAGTAAACGAGGCTGCCACAAATGATGAGTATGAAGGGTTTACCCCCAACATCCGCCTTCCTGGGGTTTATTGTCCTTGCTGTAGTCTCGTCAGCATTCAATTCCATTGACGCGCCTCAACCAGAGAGATTAACCTGTGACTTTGAGTTGAGGCTGCTGGGGCACAGAACGAATTAATCCGTGACCAACAAGTTTTCCTAAAGCGAAAGGAATTGTTACTCTCAAAAAAATCTTGCTTGAGGGCTTCCCCAAGCGTTTATTAGAGTTGGCCACCCAGATAGACAATATGGACAATTTGTTAGAATGGTCAATCCTGGACACTTCTTTTCTGATGCTTCAAAATCCGTCGGCTGTAAGATGTATTCAAAATTCTAAATCAGTGGGCTGTAATCACAAGTGTTTTCAAAATTCTATGCTTCGCTAGATTTGGAAACTTCCAATTTCTATCGCTAAACGTAGTGGGAAAGAAACAAATTTGTGTTGGAATTTCTAGTGTTCACTACAGTTAAAGATCCCACAATGCAAATAAGGTAGAGAATAAATCAAACCAGAAGCATTAATCAGGTAACAAGGAAAAAACAATTGTGCCCCCATAGATATGGTTGAACGCTAAAACATTCGATTTTCAGCCACTCCAAAAATAGCACGCAATGATGCAATTTCAAGAACAAAATAGTTGCCACAACTTCAAGAACTTATAGTACAATGACTAGAAAATAATAGATTTTTGCCAATTATTATTGTGCTAAACTTTTACAACAGAAATGCATATATCATCATCTCTTTCTTACCTTAATGGTAAATAGGGTTCACACAATGAACTAAAATTCAAACTTTCTCGGAATAGAATCTTATATTTTTGAATCCTTACAAATTGAAAAACCGCCAGATAACAAAAAGTTAGGGTTTTGCAAAAAAAAAAAAAAAAAAAAAAGATCTGAAGTTTGATGATCCAATTACTCGAGAGTGACAGTTTACCAGAATTCAGGGCTCTACCCTAACAGAGAGTTATATTTAGAACCTCCCGAAAGATGATTTTGCAATTAAAAAAAAAGGAATAATGCCAAGAAAATATACTTACTAATTGAGGCAGATCAGTGGCAGTAGCAAAGAAGTTCGCCGGCCGGAGAATAGAAATCGCAACGGCAGTCGACGGGGAATTGTTGACGGGGTTAGGGATTGCGGATGTGGGTTTGCGAATCTGATAACTTTGTGCTTTTCATCAGAAATGAAAAAACGCTCCCTTAAGTTTTGGCTTGCTCTAAAATGGTCCTTCACATACAAACCTAAGCAGTTTTAGTCCTTTAAATTTACTAAAAATAGTCAATTTTGGTCTCTCATATTATTAAAACACACTTTGACGTAATTGGCCTATAAGAAACGTGTGGCCGTTTAAATTGAAGAAATCCAACGGGGCAAACTTCTTCGAATTTATTTCCTCCAATTCGTGCATTAAGAAAATTCTTATTCAAGCATTATATCATTCACTTCAATTGTCTATCAATTTTATGAAAGTGAATAATCAATATTTATATCTCCTTTTAATCTTCAATTACCGTTGAATCTTTTAGTTAAGGATTTCTCTTAAGGTACAAATCTTAAAACATGAATTGGGAGAAACCTGTTCATGTGTGTTTTTTTTTTTTTAATTTAAATAGCTCACATATTTCTCACAAGCCAATTTTTCATCAAGAAACTATTGCGTATGTTAATAAAATAAAGATCAAAAGTGCTCAGTTTTCGTAAAATATCAAGGACTAAAATTGCTCATGTGTATATTTAAGGAACAACTTTGAACAAATCCCAAACACATTGGACTAATTTTGTCATTCTCTATGTTTTACTTCATTGTCTATCCACATATGGAGCATGTTGTTTAATAAGACTTCGACTGGAAAAAACTCTAATGACGAAAGTCATTGTATATGATGGATTCAATTATGGCTTACAATTTATTTTGGACAAGAGTAGGCATAACATAATACATAGTAGTATTTCTCAGGGCTCTTTTAGTAATTTGAAATGCGTTTATCTCATATTTGATTGTGATAAAATCATAGTATAATTAATCCCGGGATTATAGTATTTTTTTTTTATCTCTAACTTGTTTCCCAACCAAAAGGCCCCTTAATGACGGAAGAGGCGCTGGACTTTTTTCCCTGGCTAATGAAAAATATACATGCACCAGGGAAATAAGTTCAGTGCCAGGGAGAAATTATTTCTTCTAAGAGCATTACACAATTCAAAAAGTACTAATTTGAAGCAACGGGTACAAATATTAATTTAATGTGTTAAGTTAATATGCTTCTTGTTAACAATCTGTATTACTATAATAAATAATGAAACAGTTAATTTTCTGAAACAGAAACAGAAAATTAGCAGCAACAGAATGTCGAAATATCAAGCTGAATCTGAAAAATAATTTCGGAAAAAAATCGAGCCCACTAAATGCACAGTGTGTCCTTAAGGAAATTATATCCTTCAAGTACCCGAGGTGTTGGAATACTATTCTCCCAGGGTAGAACGATTTAACTCACTAGAGTGTTGGTACCAAAAAAGGTCGGTGAAACAGCGAACCACTTGAAGGCTGTAAACCTGGAATTTTAATTGTACAAAAGAAGGAGAAGAAGCTCAGAAAATTTTGTAAGGGAAGATTCTATGATCGAGGCATTTTTATAGCCATTTTCTGGCACTATTTCTGAAAAGGTTTACGACCTTTTAGCAACAGCCATGGCTGTTGGAACAGGCACTACTAGAAATTCGGAAAAAAACGACCACAAAAAGCGACCAGTGTTGGTCGCTTATTGGCCAAAAAGCGACCAAACGTGCCTGGTCGATATTAAGCTGGTCCCTTTACCTTAGGGACCAAAGTTGGTCGCTAATTAGCGACCAACTTTGGTCTCTCAAGTCAAAGGACCAAATATTCCGGTAAAGACACTGACGACCAACTTTGGTCGCTATATTATTTTAATATTATAAATTTTGCGACCAAAGTTGGTCTCCTTTTTGTAAATTTCGTTTTTTTATTTATTTATTAATTATGAAGTAGCGACCAACTTTGGTCTGTATATGAAATATTATATTTTAAAATCTGGAAAATGGCGACCAATGTTGGTCGCTATACTATAAATTTTTTAATTATTTTTTTAAATAAGCGACCAAACTTGGTCGCTAAATACATGAATTAATTTTTTTATTTATTAATAAGCGACCAAATCTGGTCGCCATATTTCCAGAAATTGTTATTTTTCTGGTAAATAGCGACCAATCTTGGTCGCTACTTGGGGAATCTGGGTTAAATAGCGACCAACCTTGGTCGCTATTTCACAGAAAATTATTTTTTTTAATAGAAATGCGACCAAATAGCGACCAAAGTTGGTCGCTTTTCTTGGTATATTGCTGGCAGGAACTGCCTCTTTTGGCAGCTACACCACCTGCCAGCTTACCAAAATCCTAAATAGGCAAACAACAAACAACAACAACAACAACAACAATTATAACGAACAAAGTATAAAGTTCAATAGAACTTTATACTTTAAGCTAATTAGAAAACTAATAAGTTAAATGTTATTACAGAACCATTCGAAAACCAATTGTATTTGTCTAGCATAAACTTATAAGTTCAAAGATTGTTCTCTACATCATTATCATCACCGTCTGATGAACTTTCTTCACCATGACGGTATCTAGAATGGGCTATTTGTCGATGATGGGAAGAATGACCACGGGGAGGACGGGAGGAATGAGCACGGGGAAGGCGAGCCTCTGGCGATGACTCACGAGACCGGGGAATTGGAAAATTGCCAGAAGCTAGGAGAGTTTTGATCTGCTCTTGCATGCCCTTGCACTGAGCTTGCATGCCAGAGTACTGCATATCTCTAAGCCTTTCTCTCTCCTTGGCGGCTTCTAGCTCGGATTTGAGCTTTGCCACAGTCTCCCGCATAGAGGAGAGGCTCTCCCCATCAAGTTGCTCAGCTTGGGAGGAAGTCTCTATTCCTTGCATTCCACACTTATAGCGATGGAATTTCTTATTAGGAAGCCCGTATACCTTCCCCCCTTTTGGACCGCCAGCAGCCTGCGTCCACATTCTCTCAGCATCCTCGTCCGATAGTTGGATTGGCGCGCCGGACTCATTAGGTGGCTGACTGCGTATGAATTGCTCCACTTCAGCTGTGAAGCGACCCTATAAGAAAAATAATATGTGAATTACTATTTCCAAATTTATATAAAAGTAAATCAAAATTCTTAATGAAAAGTGAAAACTTACATGTACAGTCGAGGCTCGGCCCTCGACCCACCTTTCTTGATCCGTCTC